TTCAAGCTCGATGGGTTGCCTCCCGGTTTAATCTCACCATCCTTTCTCTTACCTTTCGACCTCTTCCTATTCGGTTTTGACTTCTTACCAATTCCATCATCACTTTTCAACTTGAGCACATCCTCGTTACCTACAACACCATTTTCATTAGATAAGTTAAGATTGGAGTTGAGATGTACCTCGTTGTCGATGTCCTCCACAAACGAGCATTGGCCAACTTTGGTTGGAGCGTCCCGGACGTTGTTCATCGTGAATGTAGCAATCTCTCCATGAGCCGAGAGAGTGACTCGTCCCTCTTTGACATCGATAATTGTGTTGGTCGTCGCCATGAAGGGTCGACCAAGCAAAATTGTGTGCTCCTTCCCGGTATTCGGGACATCTCCAACATCAAGGACTACGAAATCGACCGGTACGACAATCGAACCAACCTTGACCAACACATCTTCGATTATACCCTTTGGCTCCCGCAAGGTGCGGTCCGCTAATTGGAGGCTCATCCGAGTCGGCTTGAGCCCTTGCAAACCTAATTGCTTGTAGATCGAGTAGGGCATGAGGTTTATACCAGCTCCCAAGTCTAGCATCCCGGTTGTGGCCTTCCCATTTCCAAATGTGATCTTCATGACGAAAGCTCCCGGATCGCACTCTTTCCGAGGTATAGTAGTCGAGGCTACCTCGGAAATCATGACTTTCTCATTATCCCCGAACCTCCGCTTTTTCGAAGCTAAGTCCTTGAAAAATTGAACATATGCCGACACGTTTTTGATAACGTCTAGTAGTGGGAGGTTCACGTTTACCTTCGAGAGCATGTCAAAAAGATCTTGAAATTGACGCTCCTTCTTTGTATCCTTCAAACGGCTCGGGAAGGGAACCGGTGGTCGGTAAGGTGCATTCGCTTTATGCAAGACCTCACGGGTTTCTTTCTTCGAACTCTCCTTCACAATTCTTTCATCAACAATGGCTTTCCCTTTCCAAACCTCAACTTCCTCATCACCCGGTCCATCATCATCCTCATCAACAACAATTTCAACAATCTCATTTTCCACGGGTACCTCAACATGATTTTCGACCTTCTTACCACTTCTTAACACCGTAATAGCGTTCAAGTGCTCGGGTTGGCTCAGGAGTTTGTCTTTCATCTTGCTCCTTTAGATTTCCCCGATAGAACTCCCGAGTTGCCCCATTTGAGTCTCGAGGCATTTAAGAGAGGCTTGGATCGAGGGCACTCCCTTGACGGTATCGTGCAAAGTAGAGACGGTGGAGGCCAACGATTGAAGACACTTCTCTAAGCTTTCGATCCGAGTCTCCGAGGATTCTCCGTTAACATTCCTCTCGGGCTCGGGTGGAGGTGGCAAAGGTTGCCTTGGAATGAATCCTCCACGCCCTTGTGGATATCCTTGAAACTCGGGCCTCGGTTGATAGCCTTGAAACTCGGGTCTCGGTTGGAACGGTGGTCGGTTGTTCGGTTGAGCATGTTGT